AGCAAGAGCACTGCTTGTAAATATTATTTCTGAAAAATTATCACACATTTTAAATCATAAACGTTCGCGAGCATGTACGATATTTTCGCCACTGGTTCAACATCATTCAGCATTGCACACAAAATGCAATGCGAATAAACATTGCGAATAAACACTTTTGAAATGTCACTCGAATTTCTAATCGTATTCAAAATCACTGGCTATTATCGAGATGCAGCTTTCGCAAAGTTTGACGTACACAATAATATTGATTTACGGGACTCGCAGTAACGTATTTCCCGTGGCATCGACCTTTTACTTGGCACTGAATGTTTCTTTGGTACACTTGAATAGGGAAAATTAATTTTAAACACAACTTTACCTATTTTACAGCAAACGGCCTTTGGATAGTTAGTAACAGAAAAATGTCTTGTCAGCACATCAAAACAATCAATAAATTCGTGTTATTAAATCGATGATAATTTAAAAAGCTAAATGACAATATCGAAAAATTCTGGAATTTTGAAGAAATTCATATTAAGTACAAACCAACATTCGAGCACGAGCAATGCAAATCTCAATTTAAAAATTTCATTGCTGAGGATCTAAATGGTAGAATTATAGTTTATCTTCCATTTAAAGCTAATCCGAATTTATTAGGAAATTTAAAGGAAATTTAAGATAGCATCATTTCCACTACCTTACGATATTAGAAAAACAGTCATTAAAAACGATTTTTACGTTGACGATATTGGTTTATGAGCCGAAGACCTACCTACATTGCAAAAAATCCAAAAGGAAGTAGTTGAGATCTTAAATCATTATAGTCATGGCATTATAATGCATTAAATGGCATTATAGTCATCCACACCTAAATTTTAACACTTCTCGTGAATTAAAGCTTGACGATGATATGACTGATTTATATGTATTTGTGTGCACATTCAAGCCGAACGATCACACAATAATTTCAAAACGTACATTATTATCAATAAATCCATCACTTTTTGATCCATTTGATTTGGTAAGTCCCATAATCATTCAAGCAAAAATTTTGTTTTAACATTTATCGAAAGAGAAATACAACTGGGATGACCAAGTCAGTGACAATATTCTACATCATTGGAAAAATTTAGCAGCAGAACTTCAAAATTTATAATATATAAAAATTCTGCGTTTTATTGGTATTTCCAAAGCAATTACAATTACATAGAGTTGCAGATGCATATTTGCATGCGGTTGGTTGTTGTGTGTATTTACACAATACAGACGGAGTTGGTTTCGAGTTGCTTCTCGAAAAATACGCACACTAACATGTATGGAGCTGTGCGCAGCTCCTTTACTTTCAACTATGTTGAAGCAACATTCTTTTTCTTTATAGATTGCAAAATGTGTTTTCTGGACTGATTCACAGATCACATTACACTGGATCAAATCAGAGTCATCCACACTTACTGTATTTATCGGGAATCGTGTCTCTGAAATTAAATATTTCACTAAGCACCATAACTGGTGGTATGTTCCCAATAAACAAAATTCCACAGATTCGTTATCACGTCAATATAGTTTAAAGAGTTATTATTTTTGTTTTGTGATTATTAAAATTGGCCGCCTGACTTTGAAGGCTATAATCAAAATTATGACGAATTTACCTTAGGTGAACCGCAAATCAACATTTCTTTGTTCTTTGACTGTTCTGAAGAACAGTCATACATTTTGCAACAATTTAACCGTTTTAGTAATTACAATAAATGTTAGCAAGTTATAGCTCGTATACTTCAATTAGCTACTCGAGGAATATCATCTAATGTTGCCGTAGCTGGAGTTCGAAGTGCATTGCTTCGCATTGTTGGCGTAATTCAACAATATCGTTTTTCAACTCAAATCCGACAGATCAAATGCCAAAGGCCTTTGACAGGCTATTTGAAATCATTAACGCCGTTTATAGATTATACACAACCTATCGCCTTATTGCGGGTTGGAGAAAGATTAAGTCATACTAATATAACATACGAAGCGAGATTTCCACTACTTCTTCCGAAAGATGAGCCCAACACGAGTGGTACATAAGTGTTTACATTGTACTCTATATAAACCAAAACTACTTTCTCAAATTATGGATGATCTTTCAAAGAAACGAATATCATTCTCAAGATCATTTAATACAATGGGTGTAGACTTTGCTGAACCTATTCCAACCCATTTGAAAATTCGTGGTAAAAGCCCAAATAAATCATATATTGCGCTGGTCGTATACTTTTCGACTAAAGCTGTGTAGTTTCATGTCAAAAGTGATCTGTCAGAAGTTTCGAGTATTCAACGGTGGCAGTGCATAACAGCTTTTAAATCTTACTTTTGGAATCGATGGCATCGTGCATATTTAGCTGAACTTCAAAATCGAACTCGATGGCAAACACCGACCAACAATCCAAAGCTTAATGATTAGTTGTCATACAAAATGAGAATTTGGCAACCATGCAGTCGATTGTGGGTCGAATTATCAACGTTATTTTAGGACCAGACGGGTGAGCTAAAGTAGTCCAATATTACAAATACTACACTACTTTCAACTACTTAAAACCTGCGGTTTCGATGAGGACTAATCATATAGAAAGAAATTATTATTACATATATGTAATTGTTGTTGTAGTCATTATAGCTAAGTATATACAGTCAAACTTCTATAACTTGAAGTCCAATTTGACAAAGAAAAGGTTCGACTTATTCTCTAACTCGAAGTCTTTTATTTTTTTTTTTTATTTTTGAAAGAAACTAGAATTATTTCTTATTTATTATTTTTAAAATCAAACACAGCACAGAAGTTTAATGAAGTAAAATACAGTCAAACTTCCATAACTCGTACCAATTTGCAATGAAAAGTTCGACTTATGGAGACTTCAAGTTAGAGACTAGTTACACTTTAAATTTTGAATTACTCCCTGATCAAGTTGTTGCAATTTAGGGGTCATATTCGGCAGAAGAAATGCCAATTTTATACATTTGCACAAATATCCGCGACTGGCATAACATAACATAACGACAACATAAGAAAGAAAAATTTAACATTTGGTTTGGAAAAATGGCTTCCCTTAACAACAAAACGGACATTCCTATTGGTACGTGGCAATATTTTTATTCGAGTTATAGAGAAATTTGAGTTATAGAAGGTCGAGTTATGGAAGCAGATATGCATGTAATTTACTCTATAGAACCCTGTTATACTCTTTTTAATTCGAGTTATAGAAAATTCGAGTTATAGAAGTTCGAGTGATGAAAGTTTGACTGTATTATAATATTATAAATAGCCGGTGCTATTTTCAATTTTCTTAGTAGAATAGCACATAACAGAAGTAACATAAGTCATAGCATATAGTCGAATGGTATGAATCAATTGGTGCACTCATTAAGAATGAATAAAGGTAATGATTGCCGATTCGATCAGTTTTGACATTCGTAAGAAATTTGTATAAATTTGTATGCCTCGTTGCAGTTCTGTGCAACGTAATAAAATAAAAAATGTCAGACAAATTTTATTTCGCGACTGTGACATAATACTAATGAATGACTCATATATCACTTACTTTCGAAATAATGAGTCAGAATGTATATACATGAAACACGGACAATGAGTACTCATTGTGGAGTGGAGTGGAGTACTCGTTGCAGTTCTCTAATGTGAAATCATTCGGTCTTCATTTGATCAGTAAAGTATGAGGTTGTTTGGAGTTCTTCCGTTTCATTTTACGTTCACCCTCTTTGAATACATAGTTTTTATTTCAAACAATTGCTTTATACAATAGGTCTCTTCCACGAGGTACTCGTAGTAAAACTCAAGTAAAACACAAGTAACGTACAAACTGAGAGCGTAACACAAATAAAGTGCCAAATTCCGCTCTTTACACAGATTTTCATGGAACAGCTTTGTGTAAAGTCTGGTAAGAACACTAGTTAGTTAGTTAGTTGTGGTGGAGAGGGGACGAATCCTCCTCAAATAGCTAAGGATGAAAGCCGTTTTGAATCCACAAAAACCTCGTAATAGTGGGTAGTAGATAGAGGGTCAAACTAGAACCAACCAGAGGCATTAACAAAGGCAAGAATCTGGCTAATGCTGATACTGGAGATATCGCTAAGTGAGTTGAAGAAAGGGGCCCCTAGAAACTTAAACCTAGTTCTGGCCAGACCTGTTCAAAAACACATCAGGTGTTCTGGTGTCATTTCTTCAAGTATTGGTAGACACGCACTACATGAGGTACCACAGGGAAGGCCAAGTCTAGTGCAGCGCAAATAAATACAAACATTTAAATTCAAACCAAAACAGCTGATTCACACATCAACACAAATCTTACTTGAAATTTTTATTTTCATTTTAATGAAATAAAATGCCGAAATTGATCAAAAAGTCCAACATAAAAAACATTTATAAAGAACAGGCAACAGTTCTTCAATCTGTGTTTGCGATAAACGGATACAACTGTGTAGATAAATTTAAAATTTTCGTGTAAATTTATTAAGTTTGTGTAAATGATTTTTCATACAAAATGTAATAAAATTTAATAAAGTAGATAAATTTATACATTTATAAGGTTTATAAACCATTTATCAGTTTAGATGAGTACCCTTCTTGTTTTTTAATTTAAATTTAAGTGTTATGAGTGTTATGCTATGCTTCAAAATAATAAGATTCAGTTGATATATTATAAAATTCCGAAAAAATAATCAGCGGCCCGTTTATGTAATCTTCTCACTTCGTTTTCTCGAACGATTTTTCTCACTTTTGATAAACACTTCGAGTAAATAAATGCCAAAAGTGAGAAAATCCTTTGAGAAAACTAAGTTATATAAGCGAGCCGTAGATCTGATATCTCGGTAAATCGATAAATCGATAAATCGATAAATCGGTAACGTTAGAATTTCGCAAAATTAAATTCACTTAAAAGTTGTTCAAATTACCGAGCACCTGTAAATAGCATTATTATTAAGTAGTTTTTATCATTATTATTAATATTTTTTTAAACTTTTAGTTTCCAGAGAAAAGTGTGAAAGTGAAAATAAGGAATGCAAGCCTCTCAGCAGCTGTCGCCAGTTTATTGCAAATTTAAGTGAACTTATTAACATATTACCATATTGCGATGCTGATAATTATATTGTTTGTTGTCCTAAAGAAACGAAAGAAACTGAGAGCAAATTCACATCTTCTGGACATATGGAAGTATTCGAGAAAGGTATTTTGACTTTGAGAAACTTATACCAAATTTCTTTTTATTATTTTATACTATATATTCTTTTTTTTATATTATTTTATTTTTAGAAATTGACAATTATGTAATGAAGTCTTAAAAGCTAAACATAATGCAAAAGAAATTTAGGCTTTGTAATAAAATGAAATGGATTATATACTATATCAAAATTTATAGCAAAAGATAGACTTTTTAGTAAAATTACGTTAAAGTTGTATAAAGCTTTTTCGCTTTAGTCTAGTTATTGTGGTATCAGAAAGCAGCTGTTGCGCCATTGGATTACTATGCTGGTGAAGTTTCACTTTATATTTTTGACCGCATGTTCTAATGACGTCTGCAACTGTATTGTATACCAGGACTTTATTTTCCAGACATAGCTTAGAGTTTTTATTAATAAAAACTCTAAACTATAATAAACTCTATTATAATAATAAGCTACTGTGATTTCAATTTTATTTAAGTTTTTTTGCTTTCAATGTGCTAAGTCCAAGTCAGCCTTCTATCAAGATGAATACCAATTATGTGACTGAGCTATAATGATGTTATTCAACTTAACAGAGGGACCTGTTTCTTTTCGTAGAGTAAACGTGACATGTACACTTTTCGTTTCGTTTACTTTTATGCACCATTTTGCTAGCAACTTCTCCAATAGACTTAAATGAGTCGAGAGACTTTGGGATGCCCTCATGTGATCACTGTTAGAACTGAGAATTGCAGTGTCATTCGCAAAATTAGCAACTACGTGACTTGAAAGCAGTGGGAGATCAGCTGTGTAGATTATATGCACGAACGGCTCCAATACGCTTCCTTGACGTCGATTTCTCTTGAAATGAAAATATTGTATTTCAATCTAAATCTTCTAGAGGATATATATGAATACAATAGCTTATGCATATTTTCAGGAAAGTGATGTTTTATTTTATACATAAGACCTTTGTGTCAAACCTTATCAAAAGCTTGGGCTACGTCCAAGAAAACGGCGAAACAGTATATTTTGTACTGAAAGGCAGTATGTATATCTTTAGCAATTCTGTGAACTTGCTCAATACTGTTATGTCCTGTTCGAAATCTTAATTGATGGTTTGGGGTTACATAGTTTTGAATTATTATTGGCATAATATATGACAGCAGCATTTTCTTAAAGATTTAACTTTGGCATAGTTAAATCCTTTCCTGTTTTTAGAATCATTTTTATTTCTGAAACTTTCCATTGCTACGGGTAGTAGCCAAAAGCGAGGATGCTGTTAAATAACACTATAAGAAAGGATATTGCTGAACCAGGCAATTGTTGTATCATTTTACACGTAATTTTGTCGTATCCAGGTGTTTTTTTTGGATTTGCAAATGTTCGGATAGTTTACTTGACGTCATCCAAATACAATGTAAGGGGAATTTCAATAATAGAAGGAGATTCAATATTTGGTAGAAATTCTGTTATTTGTGGGTTTGACTAAAAGACGCCCTTTAGCTATTCTGTCAAAATAAAACTTTTTTCTTCGTCATTGCGAGCCCAAGAAACATCCTGTCGTTATAGTTATTGTTGTTTACTTTTTGAATTTTGTCACTATTGTTTGTATTTTTCTGTGGGCTAAGTTTTAAGCTTAGCTATTTGAGTATATCGTTCAAATCCTGTTTGCACTTTTACTGGTTTATTTGAAAGTTTTATATGTACAAAATTATAAGTTGAAAAAAAACGATTTCGCAAAAATTCAAATTCAAGTACAAATTTATAACGATTTGTAAATTTATATTGGAACCGTATTCACATCTATATAAACACATATAGGATTATTAGTGCTCATTTCCTGATAAAACGTAAACTTTCAATATTATTCAAAACCAGAACCGAATTGAATAAACATTTAATTCCCTGATTTTGAGTTGAATAATAATAATAATAATAATAATAATAATAATAATAATAAAATTTTTAAAAATAAAATTCAAAAAATATACCAAAAACACAATAGACACTCAAAATATGAACGTAATAACTCAAACGCAATATTATCAAGAGATACTTACTTACTTACTTAGTTGGCTATTACAGACGTGTGTCGTCCTTGGCCGCGCCGAGTAGCCTCCTCCAGTCAGCCCGATTAGTTGCTTTCTGACGCCAGTTGGTAGTACCGAGCGCACTCAAATCGTTGGTCACCTGGTCCTTCCACCGAAGATGCGGACGTCCTCTACCGCGTTTTCCACCTGCGGGTACCGAATCAAATACCTTTCTTTCATTCGCACGACATGTCCAAGCCAGCGTAGCCGCTGAATTTTTATGCGCTCAACTATGTCAATGTCGCGGTATAGCTCATACAGTAAGGGACCATAGATCTTCCGAAGAATTTTTCTCTCGAATGCTCCTCACGCCTTCTCATCACTGTTGGTAATTGTCCAAGCTCTGCACCATACAGCAGGACAGGCATGATAAGGGATTTGTAGAGCGTGATTTTCGTTTGTCGAGAGAGGGCTTTATTTCTCAATTGCTTACTTAGCCCGAAGTAACATTTGTTGGCAAGAGTAATTCTTCGTTGAATCTTTAGGCTGTCGTCATTTTTGGTGTTTAAGCTGGTACCTAAATAAGCAAAGTCTTTCACAACTTCGAACTTATTATTGTCAACAGTGACGTAGGTCCCAAGACGCTCAGAAGATTTGTTTGTTGACAGAAAGTACTTTGTTTTGTCCTCATTTACTACAAGACCCATTTGCTTTGCTTGTTTTTCTAAGTTGGAAAATGCCGCACTGACGACCAATGATATCAATATCGTCGGCATACGCAAGCAGCTTTACACTTTTGTAGAATATTGTGCCAGTACGGTTTAAATCTGCTGCTCGAATTATCGTTTCCAACATTAGGTTAAAGTAGTCACACGACAAGTAGTCACCCTGTCTGAAGCCTCGTTTGGTATCAAACGGCTCGGAGAGGTTCTTTCCAATTCTAACGGAGCTGGTGGTGTTGCTCAACATCATTTTACATAGCCGTATAAGTTTTGCTGAGATACCAAATTCAGACATAGCGGTATAGAGTGTGCTTCTAGTCGTAGTGTCAAAAGCAGCTTTGAAGTCGACAAATAGGTGGTGTGTGTCGATTTGTTTTTCTTGAGTCTTCTCCAGGATTTGACGCACTGTGAATATCTGGTCTAGAGTGGATTTGCCAGGACTGAAGCCACACTGATAAGGTCCAATCAGTTGGTTGACGATTGGCTTCAATCTTTCACATAGTACGTTTGACAGAACCTTATATGCGATATTTAAAAGACTGATCCCGCGGTAGTTTGCGCAGTTTGCAGGATCACCTTTTTTGTGGATTGGGCAAAGCACACTTAAATTCCAATCGTTGGGCATGCATTCATCCGACCAAATGTTGCGAATTAGCTGTAGCATGCATTTTGATAGCTATTCGCCACCAACTTTAAACAGCTCAGCCGGTAAACCATCGGCGCCTGCAACTTTGTTGTTTTTGAGCCGCGTTATAGCTATTTTAACTTCATTATGATCGGGAAGCGGGACGATTATTTCATCGTCAACGATTGAAAATTCGGGATCATCTTCGTTTTCACACTGTTCAATCATGAACATAAATTTATAAATATTTAATTATTTTATATATTATATTATTTTAGTTTATTATTATCGCTTAAAACCTTATCACCTAAATTTCCAGAATAATGTACAAGGGTAAAAATGCATTATATTAATATAGCAAGCATTGTAACATGTGAGCATCCGTATCTAATTATAACAATAAATATATTTATAGAAACAATAGGAGGAAAATCCCTAGTGTTGGGACTTCCGTCCTTTTTTAACCTTTTTTACAAACAATAACAAAATGTAATACAGTCCATTAAAATAATAACCTTGATGTAAAACTAATCTTAAGATATTTTTGTATAAATACAGAACGTTGTTTTAAATAAAATCAGTAATTTACAAATACTCAAACGGTTCAGTTGTTTTAATTCTGAACATTTGGTCCTTCGAGCCTTAGCGTTTTCCCTCACCAGTGGTAAGAGACCTAAGGATATTAAAAAAAAAATCACCAAAACTTTATATTGGTGCGAAATATTCCTTCAAGAAGAAGAAATATTTCAACAAAAACAAAAAAAGCAGACAGAAGATTTGTTTGTTTGGTATCCTCCCGATACCATAAACAGCGCTTAGTGGCCGAAGTGCTGCAGCGAAGGAAGCCGTGCATCATTGAAGGGCAGCGGCAGAGAAAAAAAAATATATACATTTAGTTAGAGAAATTGTAAGGTCGGAGCGGCGTTTTACTAACGCATTCTGATCAGGGTCGGAGGCGTTAATCGCTATAGACAACAATAGGATTTAAAAAATTGTAATATTAGGTAGAAATAGGCTCAATCCAACGGGAGTAACAGCGGCAGTGACCTTTTACTAATAGAAAGCGGCAGCTACGACACGACGGCAGCTAAGAGACAGCGGCAGCCAAAAAGACAGCGGCAGCTACGACACGACGGCAGCTAAGAGACAGTGGCAGCCAATAGACAGCGGCAGCTATCCACCTCAGAAGAGGATTTAAAAAAATTAAAATACTCGAAAAAGAAGATTTTATATAAAAAAAAAAACACAACAAATATGGCACAAAAACTAAAGCTTTATGAAGCGCAAAAAAAGCTAGGAGAAGAAATAATAACTGCAGTAGGAAAAATTAAAGAAAAGGGACTACGTAAGACAGCCGATAAAATAGAAAAAGTGGAAAAGAACTGGAAAAAATTTCAGGTAAACCACGAAGAACTATTAAAAGAAGGCTCAGAAACAGATGAGTACTTTAAAGAATGTTGGTTCGATACAATCCAAAAATATTATAAAAAGATGTTAGAAACCGATAATACCACTAAAACAACGGAAAAAGTCAACAAAGAAGAAAGTGAAGCGGATAAAATATCAGAAGACAATGATATAACTATAGTTGACACTAAAAAAGAGGTTCAAAAAATCAGTAAATTAGAAACCAGGTTAATGAG